GTCCAAAACTTATGGTACACATTATAAGAGGAAAATATATGACAATACAGGCTCACATAAAGAAACAATAAACAACCTAGTTTCCTACCTTAAAGAGCGGGGAAAGGAACAACAAAATAACCCAAAATCCAGTAGAAGACAGAAAATAATAAAAGTAAAATCAGAAATAAATAAAATGGAAGTTAGGAAAACAGTCCAAAAAAAATCAATGAAACCAAAAGTTGGTTTTTTGAGAAAATGAACAAGATAGACAGGCCACTAGCCAAGATCACAAAGAAAAAGCACAAATAAACATAATCATAAACAAAAGAGGAGGAATCACAACAGATGCAGCAGAAATCAAAAGAATAATCAGAGAATACTATGAACAACTATATGCAAACAAGTTTGACAATTTAGCAGAAATGGACAAATTTCTACAATTCTACAACCACCCAAAGCTAGATAAAGAAGAGATGGAACAACTGAACAGGCCAGTTACAAGCAAGGAAATAGAAGAAGTAATCAAAACCCTCCCCAAAAATAAAGCCCAGGACCAGATGGATTTACAAATGAACTTTACTGAAATGTTCAGAAAAGAACTAGTGCCTATTCTACACAGACTCATCCAAAAATCGAAAAAGAAGGAAAACTATCACATACTTTCTACGAAGCCAACATCACACTAATACCAAAACCTAACAAGGAAAACACAAAAAAAGAAAACTTCAGGCCAATCTCCCTAATGAAAACCGATGCAAAAATCCTCAACAAAATCTTAGCTAACAGAATCCAACAATGCATTAAAAGAATAATACACTGTGAACAAGTGAGCTTTATCCCAGGAGCACAAGGATGGTTCAACATCAGAAAATAAATCAATGTAATCCATCACATCAACCAACAGAAAAATAAGAACCACATAATCATATCAATAGATGTGGAGAAGGCATTCAACAAAGTTCAACACCCATTTATGTTTAAGGTTCTCGAAAGCCTCGAAATAGAAGGAACATACCTCAACATGATAAAAGCCATATATGACAAACCCACCCTCAATATTATCCTCAATGGAGTAAAGCTGAAAGCCTTTCCTTTGAGATCAGGAACAAGACAATGGTGTCCACTATCGCTACTGCTCTTCAACATAACATTGGAAGTTCTAGCCAGAGCAATAAGACAAGAAAAAGACATACAAGGAGTCCAACTAGGGGAAGAAGTAAAACTGTCCTTCTTTGCGATGAAAGGTTAATTTACATGGAAAACCCTAAAAACTCTACAGAAAAACTAACCAAAACCATCATCAGTTTAGCAAGGTAGCAGGATATAAAATCAACACACAAAAAGTCAGAGGCCTTCCTATACACAAACAACTAATCAGAAGAAGCAGGATTTTAAAACCATCCCCTTTCAATTAAAACAGAAAGAATCAAAACCTGGGAGTCAACCTACAAAAGAGTTAAAAGACCTTTACAAAGAAAATTACTGTTAAAAAGAAATTCAAGAAGACACCATGAACTGGAAAGACATTCCCTACTCATGGATTGGGAGAATTAACATCATCAAAATGGCCATCCAACCAAATGTGATATACAGATTTAACGCCATCCCAATAAAAGTCTCAGTGACATTCTTCAAAGAAGCAGAAAAAATACTGATTAGATTCATAGGGAACAACAAAGACCTCGAATAGCCAAAACTCTCATGACTAAAAAGAAAGAAAATGGAGGCATTGCAATCCCAAACTTTGAGCTATACTACAAAGCCATAATAATCAAAACCGCAAGGTGCTGGGACAAGAACAGACATACAGACCAGTGGATTTGGATAGAAAACAAAGATATAAACCCACAGGCTTATGGGCAGCTAATCTTTGACAAAGAAGCAAAGAAGATACAATGGAGCAAAGAAAGTTTGTTCAGCAAATGGTGCTGGGAACACTGGGAAGCTACATGCAAAAAAATGAAACTAGATCACTACCTCACACCATACACAAAAATCAACTCGAAGTAGATTAAAGACTTAAATATAAGAACAGAAACCATAAAATACCTGGAAGCAAAGATGGGCCAAACACTTCACGACATACACTTCAACATCTTTAAAGACAGAGCTCCCAATGCAACAATAGTGAAGGCAAGGATAAATAGATGGGGCTACATTAAGTTAAAGCTTCTGTACAGCAAAAGAGACATTACAAAAGACAAACAGACATTCCACTGATTGGGAACAAATTTTATCACACAAAACTAGCAATAAAGGATTGATCACAAAGATATACTGATGAAACGCAACAGAAATAAACAACCCCATCAGAAAATGGGCAGAAGAGCTAAAAAGACAATTCTCCAAAGAGAAAATGCAGATGGCCAACAAGCATATGAAAAAATGTCCAACATCACTTGTAATAATGGAGATGCAAATTAAAACCACAATGAGATACCACCTCACCCCAGTGAGAATGGCACATCTTAAAACAACTAGCACAACAAATGTTGGCAAGGGTGTAAAGAAAAAGGAACTCTCTTGCACTGCTGGTGGGTATGCAAACTATTACAACCACTATGGGAAACTGTTTGGAGGTTCCTCAAATTGCTAAATATGGAGCTTCCATATGACCCAGCAATCCCACTGCTAGGTATCTACCTAAAAGACACAAAAACATTGATTCAAAAAGATACTTGCATTCCCATGTTTATTGCTGCATTTTTTTAATATTGGAAAGACATGGAAACAGCCCAAATGCCCAAAAATGGATGACTGGATTAAAAAGACGTGGTACATATACACAATGGAATATTACTCAGCAACCAAAAAAAAAGAAATACATGTCCTTTGCAGCAACATGGATGGAGCTGGAAAAGATCATGCTTAGTGAGGTAAGTCAGGAATAAATGGAAAAATACCAAATGGTTTCACTCATAGCAGGAGCATAAGGCGAGAAAATAATAATAATAATTATAATAACAAACAGTTATATACCAGACACAATTAATGGGGGTGGAGTGGATCAAAAACAGTCGGGGAAGGGAAATGCACTGGACTTTGGTGATGGCACATGGGTGATCTGGTAATGAGAAACCCAAGGGGATTACAACTGAGATGGAAAAATGAACAAAATGATGTAAAAATAAACTATTATATTATTTTTTAAAAAAGTCCTGGGCCCTCCCTGGTGGCGCAGCGGGTTAAAGCACAGCACTGAGAATCTAAAGCCGCTTCCACATGAGTTCGATCCCCGCCTGTCCCGGAGGTGACCACATGGTGTGGCAGACCTATCCTGACCCGCCTGCTGCTCCCCTCAGCAGTATACTTCATCCATCTGCCTGTTCTGTTCCCCACTCTGTCTCTGGTGAAGCCTCTCACCGCCCCTGAGCCTCTGGCCTGTACCCCAGTTCTGTATGCACAAATAAATAAATCTTTAAAAAAAAAAAAAGTCCTAAAGAACAAAAAAAGAATATTAATTTGCAAACTTTGCAGAGGACAATAATTATAGTAATTCATTGTAAACATGTAAAATTAATTCAAATTGAACTTATTTAATTTTTTTTTTAATATTTGAGCTTACACAATATGAAATACACATTTCAGAAAAGGGCTTATAAATAAAGGACACTTAAAATATTTCTTTAGTCACTTTGAAAGGTATATTAACAAATGTATCTTATGCAAGTACTTTTCTACATGCCTGTTAAATATCAGCATTTTTATAACTATATGACAGATATGAAATTCATATTTGAGAACCATATTCTAAACTAAAATAAAAATCAAAGAAAAAAAAAAGAATTTGTATATGTGTAAGAGCAGTTACAACAGGAAAAAGCTAGAAATCAGTACCTATTTTTTGATTGGGTTGTTCGCTTTATTTTTGTTGAGTTTTGTCAGATCTTTATGTACTTTTGTTATCAGTCCTTTGTCATTAATATTGTGTGCAAATACTTTCTCCCAATCAGTGGGGTGCCTCTTTGTTTTGTGTGGTGTCTCTCTTGTTGTACAGAAGGTCTTTAACTTGGCAGAAGAGCTACAAAGATACTTCTCCAAAGAAGAAATGCAGATATATAGAAAAATGTTCAACATCACTTTTACTAAGGAAAATGCAAATTAAAATCATAATGAGATACCACCTCACACCAGTGAGAATGGCACATATTAAAACAGCTAGCAACAACAAATGTTGGCGAGGATGTAGTGAAAAAGAACTCTCCTACATTGCTGGTGGGAATGCAAGTTGATACAACCACTATGGAAAGCTGTTTGGAGGCTCCTCAAACTGCTTAACATGGAGCTTCCCTATGATCCAGCAATCCCACTCCTAGGTATCTACCAAAAGACACAAAAACACTGATTCAAAAGGACACCTGCACCATGTTTATTGCTGCTCTATTTACAATAGGGAAGATGTGGAATCAACCCAAATGCCCAAAAATAGAAGACTGGATTAGAAAGATGTGGTACATATACATAACGGAATATTACTGAGCAATCAAAAAAGATAAAATAATGCCTTTTGAAGCAACATGGATGGAGCTGGAAGGGATCATGCTTAGTGAAATAAGCCAGAAAAAATAAATAAATAAAAATCCCAGATGGCTTCACTCATAGCAGGGGGTTTAAGGGATCAGAGGGCGGAAAAAAGAGAGAAACAAGTATTAATAGAGTAAAAATGAAAACAATGAAGAACTATAAACAGAGACATTTATAGGGGTGGGAGAGGGAATGGGAAAAAAAAAAAATCAGTACCTAAAATTCCACAGGCTTTTTTCTTATTTTTTTTTTCTATCTAGTAATCTTATATTTTAAAATTTTCAAATTACCACACAACTCAGCTGGCTCAAAGAATAGATGAAAAAGAGCTAATAGCTTAAAAATACTTATATTTGGAAGTATTTTAAAATAAAGCTCACAAACTCAACACTTTCTCTAGTCAGAGTAATTTCTAAGACTTTGACCTATAATTTATTAAATAAACTATACAGTTCTAACAATATCATATAATCATATATTAAGATAAGTCTTACCTGCTTTTTTAAGTTATCATTCAATTCTTTCAATGCATCAAAAGAGGTTCTAAGCCTTTTGCTTTCTTTATTTCTCTCCTTAAGAACTTCAGTTAAGTGTTCAACTTCTGCAGCATGTTGCTAAAAGAAGAAAAGCTGATATAAAAATTAGGCTAAGGATCCCATGTCACTAATGTTACAGAATATACTTTAATTAAAAATCAGTTCTGGGAGGGAAAAAAAGATTAAAAAAAAAATCTGTTCCAGGCCCTCCCTGGTGGCGCAGAGGGTTAAAGCACAGCACTAAGAAGCTAAAGCCACTTACGCATGAGTTCGATCCACCACCCCCCCAAGGTGATCCACATGGCTCAGCAAACTCGCCCACTGCTCCCCTCAGCAGTGTACTTAGTCAGTGGGCCTGTTCTGCTCCCCATTCTGTCTCTGGTGAATCCTCTCACGGCCCCTGCACTTCTGGCCTGTACCCCAGCTCTGTATGCATCAATAAATAAATCTTTTAAAAAAAATCTTTTAAAAAAAATCTAAAGATTTTAATCAGTTTAAACATACATGACTAATATTGCAAATAATTTAGTAACAGTGTAATCAAAGTAACACCATAGAAAGCATTTGTTCAATACCTGTTACAAAATGTATAAATGGGAAGGAACATCTCAGCAGTGTTCACAGCACCCCACTAACAAGCAACAGTCCTGGACTACAACTCCCAAGATACCAAAGTGAACTTTCTAAATGGAGGGCAGCTAGAAAGGTTAAGGTGGATATATAAATGGAAGTGGAATGAATAAGGGAGGGGAGATACATGGTGGAGAGACACATGGAGGAGGGACACTTGGAAAAGAGTCACAATGGCTGAGAGATTCATGGGGGGCTACTCCTAGTCCTTGGTAGAGTGAAGAGCAGCCATTACTTGATCTCGTGTGGATTATATGGTACATTTTGAATTTTGGGCCTCTCTATCTGTCCCAGCTCTTGGGTACCTGCATAAACCCTTTGTGGTTTTCTGCCAGAAGTTGCTTTTAGCTTGTGGCAAGTAATCTGTTTTGGGCTGAACCTATATGGATGGACATTTGCCCACAAGAGGATGGGTAGTTTTTGGAGTTTTATTTGGAATCTTGTTATTTGAAATGCTTTCTTCTCCTCCTCTTTATGCACACCAATTAAAGATCTTTCACACAAGAATATTTTTCTTTGCCTTTGTGTACTCTTAGCTTAACTCAACAGTTTGGAGTCCCTGAGCACTCCTCAATCACAAAATTACAAACCTATTAAAATATTTCAAATGCATTATGTAGAAACAAAGCTACTTTCTACTTCTGTTCTGAAAAACACACCTAAAGAAACTCCCTAAAATAATTTGTACTTAACATCAAGAAATGATAAAAGAATGAAAATTCATAACCCTCTTCAAGAAACTACTTTATAGCTTTACAGATTAAAATGTAAGGTTTAATTTATCTTGGTAAACATAAGATTTTCAGAATCCCTGACCCTTTGTGTGGCAGGCAAAAACTTCACAGGTTCCATCTTACATGTAAATATCTGCTGCCTGATGGTGTTAAGTCTTTTCAAATAAAATATATATATATATTTAACAATAGACACCCAGCCTTTACATCCTCATAAGGTATTCTTCTGAGAGGGGAAGACTGGAACTTGCATTGCCTTCTTTTAGCATTAGTCTATTTCTGAATTAGGATAATTTTGAGCAAGAAGTCCCTCTGATTCACTGTTCCTCACTATATAAACTGAATTCAGATTAAGCTAAATTTTGGAACAGTTCTCAGTAAAATCTGGTGGACTGTTCCCCAGCTTCAAATCCTCACTATGATTAACTAATACTCTGTCTAACTAATTTTGAGACTTTTTCAGTTAACACCCTTAGAACTACTGAAAGGATAGAACGAGTTAATTTCTTGATATCACACAGTAAGTAAAACTATTTTACATCTCAAAAAAATTTAAATACTGGGCTGTAAAGAAAATTCATGCATTTTTTCCAACAGATGGCACTAGCTTATTTTTGGAAGTACAATAGTCATTTGCATCAACGCTATTACTAGTCATTTTACAGCTGATAGTTCATTTCATTCTGGAAAAAAAAAGAGCAATTTGGTTAAGTTTTGGAGATTTTATAATTTGAAGATGAAGACCAAACTGCACTCTTGCCATATTTTACTGTTTTACTTCTATAAAGAGAAGAACATGTGTCAAGCTTGTGAAAAGTTGCGTAAAGTTTATGGTTCCAATGGCTACAAGAATGTCAGTTCCAACAATGGCTCACAAAATTTCATGCTGGTGATTTTGATCTCAACAGTGATCCTCCATCAGGGATGTCCACTGAGGTTGATGATGACAAAATAAAGGCACTGATTTTAGAGTCAAACCCTCATTTCACAATACAAAAGATTTCAGAAACATTGAACATACAGTATTCAAGCACTCATGACCACCTGAAAAACCTGGGATATGTAAATAAGCTCCATATCTGGGTTCCTGTTGAACTCAAAAGTTCATTTGATGGTGTGTATAATAAACATCTGCAAAGTGCTCATTAACATGAAAAAACTATCACCTAACTGGTGATCAGAAGGGGGATGTTTACAACAATGTGGTGCGCAAATGGTCTTGGTCCCCACATGATGGTTCTCCTCAACCCATATCGAAAGCAGACATTCATCAGAGGAAGGTCATGCTCTCAGTGTGGTGAGGTTTTAAAGGTGTGTTTTTCAAGTTCCTACCATGGAACCAAACAATCAATTGGAATGTTCACTGTTGGCAATTGAACAGTTTGAATGAATCCATCATCCAGAAACATCCAGAGCTTGTTAATCGTAAGAGTTGTGTTCCATCATGCGATGTAAGACCACACACAACTTTGAGCATCTGTCAAAAATTATTGGAGTGTGGACAGGATGTGTTGCCACATCCACCATACATACTTTAAAAAAAAAAAAAATGTGCATTGTATCATTGGTCCATTCAATTACAAGGCGTTGTTGTTGTTGTTTTGAAACGTTGTAGTTGCATGAATGTGGCTATTTTTTGGGTTGTTTGACCACTACAGCTGCTGTTTTGAGTGTCTCTTGTCTGGTCCTATTCTGGGGCATCTCAGCAGCCCCATGAGCATCTTCTGCTGTGTCTTCTGCTGTCTTCTAAGTTGGATCCTGACATATAGTCTGGCTGTCACGTATCTAGGTCCACAGTGGTGAGAAGGTGCCATCTTGGGAGCGTGGCTTATTATTTGGGATAGGAGCTCCACATCCTTATTAGTGAGAAGACGCCATCTTGGAAGTGTGTGTTTAAGACTCTAAAACACTGGACACTGCTTTGTGTGAGGTAAATGGCCATTTTTGGTCTCAATAATGCTTTAATTTTCCCTGGTTAAATAAATGCCATTATTGTTCTCTCAATATGAGTAGTCTTGCAATTGTGTGCAAGGATGAAGAACTCAGTGGCTGATGAACTATTCTGGCAGTGTCATTGGCCAGTTTCAGTGCCCCTTGCTGCCCTGTATCAGCCTGACCTTGTGCTGTCTGACTGCCATTTGTTTAGCCCTTTTCAAAACTCCTTGCATGGTGTAATATTCAATTCAGATGAGGCTATAAATCAGCACTTTGTTCAGTTTTTGCCAACAAAGACAGGTCCTCCCATGAACGAGGAATTATACTCACTGAAAGATGGCAAAAGGTTATCAAACAAAACAGGCAATATATCACAGATTGAACTTTGTTCTCTATATAAATGACCTTTGAAACACATGGGAAAAAATACATCATGATTTTTCCAACAACCTAATATATAATAAAATTTCCTGACTCCCAAACTATTTTATTCTCCTTTAGCAGTTTTGTGAGTAACTCAAATCAATCCCCCCTCTAATTCCATTTAAAAAAAAAAATAGCACATTTTAGCTCTGTCCAATAAAATAAAAGTGTCAATGATAGATAGAGTTTATTAGATAATCACTGAGGAGCCCAACCTGGTAAACAGTCTTGATTAGAGAGAAAAGTAAAAAATTTAGGATTGGATTGTTGCTGTGGGCTGCTGTGGCATCGTTGCACCAACTCCAACTGTGAGCACTTCAGGCTGAGCTGCCACAGAGTTGGATCCTGGCCCGCAGCTTGCCAACTGCCACACCCTACAGACCCTCTTGGCAGGATGATTTCACCTTGGAAGAGCAGCTTTTGTTTGGGACTTCTGAACATTGCGGGGTCTATGGTGAGATAGCTGGCCACGAGTAGCCTTCATAATTTTTGTTCTCACTGTTTGTTAAAATAAGCCCCATTGTTGCTATTTGCTAAATTTGAGTGGTCTTTCAATTTTGCATGCAAGTGACAACCTCATAGACAGTGACTTGTACTCTATTGGTGATCCCAAGGATAAGAGAGGGTCCAGGTTCCTAGTCCAGTTTCCTAGTCTAGCAAGAAAGGGTGGAGCTGAGCAGGAAGGAGAAACTGGAAAGGTGACTGAAGAAGGAAGGAGGACCGATGAAGGAGACCTGAAGGAGGCACATGGAGCAGAGAACTGTTCTTGCTTCTTGATCTTAAACTGGTTGAAAAGACCTGGGTGAGAGACCCATGGGGAGGTTAACAATGGCTGTTTATATTGATTTTGCTCTTTTCCTTCCAGACTTGTCTGTCATTTCTGACCCTTTTCTATGGGCCCACAACAGGAGATGCTTTACACTTCTGGCAGGCTCTCAGGCCTCAGTAGCCCTTTTTTCTCAGTGGGCCAATCCTGTTTGGTTGGGCATTTACCCATAAAGGGATTGTTATTTTCAGATGCTTAATTTAAGAACTATATTCTTGCCATTTTTTTTTTGTTGTTGTTACACACTAATTATATTAAAGTTCCTTTCCATTACAGGCCTTACACACTAGAGTATGTTTGGTCTTGATGTAGGGTGCCCCATCCTTGCTCTGTAACAAAATCTGTCCCTTTCAGATGCAGCCCCTGTTCTCTGAACCCAATATCACTCCAAAAACATCACTTTCTTGATTTCTACAGAATGTACTGTGGAGATATAACAGTTTGCTATCATCCACACCCAAGGAAGGGTGAAGCTTAGCAGCAAAAATCTTTAGAAAAGATTGGGAAAGGAAAAGGAAGGAAGGCTAAGA